GGTTCGGTATGTTGAAACAACGGCTCTTCAACCGACGTCCCAAAACTGAGGCCGGACTTTGGAAAGCCGCACAAGAGGAGTGGTCGAATGTTTCGCTCTCCAAAGTCAAGGAAGTGTTCGCAGCTTGGAAAGTCCGATGCAGGGAGATAGCCAAGAAGAAGGGGAAGCACATAGAACACATGAAAAAAATTCACGTTCGAAAAATAAAGTTCTAACGGACGTTTGAAATCGTTTCATTTGAAAGGAAACACCCTCTGTATCTACCCATATGCAAATATCTACCCATATGCACAAATACCCATTACAGATGCACAAATCTACACAACAGACAACGAAAGCCTTAATAAAACCAAATCCGTTCTAAAATCCTATCAATAACGACAGAAAATCTCAATACAGACGAAGTTCTAATATAGAGATTCAAACCTAGTTAAACCTTTTCCTATATATTTCCACTACCCGATTAGTCAAATCCATATCTGAGTAGGCCTAGTGAATATCGATTTATCATTGTTATCAATCATTATATCATCATATTGCCACGTGGAAAATTAGGGAAGACAAAAACTTCAGAATGAGACAGCAATTTATTTCAGGCAAGAAAAAACTAAGAATGATAAACAAAAGATAAACAATGAGGGAAATTTACAGAATAGCAAAATATAAACATAAAAATGATACTCTGTTCAAAAAATAATACATACTTTGCTACAAAATTATTATTTTATTAAATATTTTATGATATAACATGGTATACAGGTTATATTTTTACCTGAATTTATCAAAACTAGTGTTATAGCTCATTACTTATCCCCACTACTATAGTTTTTACTATATTGATAACCATAATATAGCACGTTTTGATGTAAAATTAAAGGTATAGGTACCTCTCTTTTGTAACATTTTCTGCTATATTCTCATAGAAGTGTTTTCCAGAAATATTACGATATTTGAAACTTATTGTATTAAAAATTATGTTACGTGAAAATATTCCGGGTCGATAGACATTATGCAAATTTACACAAAGCAATAACGCGCCATCTATACATATAAAATGAAAGGATTTAAAAGCACAAAGTTTGTATTATGTATAAAAGAAACATTCGTAATTTTAAATCCTTTCATTTTATATGCATTATGCAAATTTACACAAAGCAATAACGCGCCATCTATACATATAAAATGAAAGGATTTAAAAGCACGAATGTTTGTATTATGTATAAAAGAAACATTCGTGCTTTTTTAAATCCTTTCATTTTATATATGTATTATGCAAATTTACACAAAGCAATAACGCGCCATCTATACATATAAAATGAAAGGATTTAAAAACACGAAGTTTGTATTATGTATAAAAGAAACATTCGTGCTTTTAAATCCTTTCATTTTATATATGTATTATGCAAATTTAACAGAGTAAATATTTTGAAAATATAACTATATTATAATGAATAAATTACTTTGGTATTCATTTGCTATAACTTGGATTTTTAAACTGGATATCACATTATTAAAAGAAAGTGAGTTCAGAAACTTTCGATTTCTATTCTTTTTCACCGAGTTCAGATAAAGAACAAGATACGAAAGCTTTCTAAAGATTGATTTAAAATAATAAAATAGAACAAAATTCAGATAGACATAAACCTGTATGATCTTATAAAGTATAGCTAGGCGATAAATCGCGACATTGGAAATAAGAATTAGTTCAATAAATTGTCACTAGAGGGAAGCAGTGCGGCCAATCTCCATTGCTATTCTCGGTCAAACATCAGTTTCCCAACGTCACATTTTAAACGTTCATCCCCTGACTTGTAATTTAATAAAATCAACAACCAATCCAGAGTTAAGTTTCTTGTTCCATTTTATATCTCTAGCTTACGGGCTAACATGGTGTTGACTTTGCTTAGAATTTTTAATGAAACTGATTCCAAGAATTATAAATTAAACATTATATTTATTGATTTACAAGAGAGAGAACAAAATATATAAAGGAAACCAATATTTAACAAAGGAACTTTTTTTTTTCGGTTAGCGCCTATTTACCTGTGAGCTTGCACACACTCTGTGGTAACAATTAATTAATATATACAACACATGTCCTTCAACAGAAGCACACCTAGAAGTATAAATTCCAGCTATGTTAACACGAAAGATAGGGAAATAAGAATAATACAAGAAATTTAACCCTGGATTTGTTTGTTGATATAGTTCATGTTGTTTATTTAATTGTGGATTCTCTGTAGTCTTAGAATCGTGAGAGATTATATAAAAACACGATAATAAAGAAGGAATAAGTGTTTTATCAAAATGATCTATGTTTTATATATAAAATGGCAATAATATAAGCCAACATTATATCTAATAAGGAAAAATACTTATTTGGACAAATAATTTCTTTATTTTGAGGTGTTCCAAGCTTTCGAGAAAATTTTGTTCTTCAACGGGAAAATCCAAAAGCAAACGAAGAGAGTTAATAACAGGCGTGGAAAAGACTATAATACATATAAATATATATTAAAAAAGGCATATCCTGACCAGGAGCACATGTGCTTTACAGAAGGCAGAGCGCCATCTGGTGGAACAGAAATCAACTAAACATTGATTTAGCCTGTTCCCTGATATTTGGCCAACCCAATTTCTTGATAAATCAAGAAAAGCCATCCACGAACGCGTTTCGCGCTTTTGGCGCTCGTCAGCGTGGAGTAGGCTGAACCACTGCGACCAAGAAATGGGTATTTAAGGCCAAACTTGCGTAAATATTCTTGATTTATCAAGAAATTGGGTTGGCCAAATATCAGGGAACAGGCTATATCAATGTTTAGTTGATTTCTGTTCCACCAGATGGCGCTCTGCCTTCTGTAAAGCACATGTGCTCCTGGTCAGGTTATGCTTTCATTATTTTCAATATAAACACCTGACACTTTTATTTTTTTTTAATATTATTTTTTCATATAATATAAAAAGATATTTGTGGGTATGCAAAGGCGCGCAGAACACCAACTACCCTGGAAGTACAGCTCACCAGTATGGACAAGTGCTAAGCACTTTTACTCGCGTCTTAAGTGGATTGCTGAGTTGAACCAGTTGACCAGGAAGGTCCATGCTGAGTCTGGCCATAGATCTAGGATTGAGGTGGGTCAGTCCAAGCAGGATAGGTGTTTGTATCCTATGTCTCAGGTAGCCTGGACAGGTGAAGAGAAGATGATCAACTGTCTATGGCACTGAATGAGAATATTGAACAACCAAGCTATAATGTAAGATGAATTTAAAAATACAGAAAGTTATGATCAGACATCATATCGCCACGCTGCAAGATTCAAAGAAAAACAGGGTAACGTGGTAAGATTCTTTAATAGAACACGACGAGCTTTCAGGCAGCAACTGCCCTTCTTCAGGTCTTATACAGAGTTTGTTTTATTTTTATTTGTAAATATGCAAATTCCCCTTTCCAATCTTCAGTATGTAAAATTCCTTATTCCTTGCGCGTATATATGTAAATAGTTTCGCTTATAAATATGGCACTTCTTTGTCTACACTTGTATAAGACCTGAAGAAGGGCAGTTGCTGCCTGAAAGCTCGTCGTGTTCTATTAAAGAATCTTACCACGTTACCCTGTTTTTCTTTGAAAGTTATACTCTGTAGTATTTTCACTGAATAATAAAAATAAATATATGTGGTGATAAAGTATGAGCCACAAAACACCAGTTTTAGAAAATTCAGATAAAAAGCCAACAACCTATATACCATGGTTTCGTGCTATGACCCTCATCAGTACAGGGGTGGCTTCGATGTTATAACATCCTACGAGAGGGGTTATAAAATCGGTCGAATTTGTCTTTGATAGAGTGAATTTTTTAAAGGGAGAGGTGCCACTTTTGGTATCATCTTCCCGTTACGTTATCTCTTCTGCAGGTTGAGATGTTGAACTCCTCAGCTATCACAGAAAGTCCGGGGAGATAAGTGAGAAGATGAGGGGGAGCAGGTTATTAACCTTTGTTTTCTCCGAACTGTCCGTCACTACTTGCCTAAGACACGCAGGTTGACGACCTCCGCCGTGTCAAACTTGAGACAAACAAGGACGACTGCCACTTGTCAAACATTGGCACACGGCCAGTGGTCCCACGGTGGTTGACATGGTGAACTTGGGTTCACTGGATGGTGGAATCGTTCTCAGGGGCCATTCTCTCAGGGAACTTTCTCAAAAAACTTTCTCAGGGACCGTTCTTGGTGACTAGGGACTGTTATCTCAGGAACCGTTCTCTCAGGGACCGTTCTCAGGAACCGTTCTCTCAGGGACCGTTCTCAGGGTTCGTTCTCTCAGGGACTGTTCTTTCAGAGGCCATTCTCTCAGGGACTGTTCTCTCAGGCATCGTTCTTTCAGAGACTGTTCTTTCAGGGGCCGTTCTCTCAGGGACTGTTCTTTCAGGGGCCGTTCTCTCAGGGACCGTTCTTTCAGGGGCCGTTCTCTCAGGCACTGTTCTTTCAGGGGCCGTTCTCTCAGGGACCGTTCTCAGGGATCGTTCTCTCAGGGACTGTTTTCTCGGGGATCGTTCTTTCAGAGACTGTTATTTCAGGGCCGTTCTCTCAGGGACTGTTCTTTCAGGGGCCGTTCTCTCAGAGTCCGTTCTCAGGGATCGTTCTCTTAGGGACTGTTCTTTCAGGGATCGTTCTCTCAGGGACTGTTCTTTAAGGGGCCGTTCTCTCAGGGACCGTTCTCAGGGATCGTTCTCTCAGGGACTGTTCTTTCAGGGGCCGTTCTCTCAGGAAACGTTCTCAAGAACCTTTCTCAGGGAAGCTTTCGAAAGTTTGCAAATTCAAAATTAAAATAAACTTTTTACCTGATTTTTATTTTTCCTTTTTCAAATAATTTCTGGGTAACTATTAAAACTATAAAATAGTTTTAGGATTTTAATATATTATTTAATTATTATGAATCATAGAGAGAATATGGTGTTTAACGGGCTACTGATCAAAATGTATGATTTTTGAGCCCTAAAAAAATTCCACGCCGAGAATCGAACCTGGGCCTCCTGGGTGAGAGTCAGGTATCCAAGCCACTTGACCATGTGAGAAACGAAAAAAACGCAGTCGACAGGATACGAGAGAACCTGTGTAATAGGAATTATAAAAAAACAAGATCACAAATATATATATATTAAAAAAACGGAAGAAAAAATAAAAGATAAAAAGATCAGGTGTTGAAATCAATATTAAAAATGTTTAGTTGATTTCTGTTCCACCAGATGGCGCTCTGCCTTCTGTAAAGCACATGTGCTCCTGGTCAGGATATGCCATTTTTAATATATATATATATATATATATATATATATATATATATATATATATATATATATATATATATATCACACAATATATTCCACAAATGTGTTTCCAAATCGATAAAATCCTTGTAAATATTATTTATTTAGATAATTAGACAATTAAAATAATTTTATTGACATCTTGTCAATACATTCAAAGTACACAGTCTGCACTATTAAAAAAAAAGATAATATGCATTATATACACTATGTACAATGAATATGGCGTCTCTACCAGCGCTGCAGAGTTTATTTAGAGAATTCGCAGAAGTAGTGGTAGTGTAACCAGATCGAACTAAGTTCATTGACCCTTTGTTTGTGTATCCGGGAACATTGGGAAGGTAAAAACAAAGCTATAGGTTTTCAAACTGGAGAAGTCGGTTCATCATCAAAATATCCAATAACTCGGAAAGTTGTTTGGGATTTTTTTCAAACATGAATATACATCATTTTATTGTGGCATTCACATTACAACTTTCTCAATTTAATTAAAAAGGCATATTTTGGATCAAAAAATCATTTATTTTACCAATATTTCAGTTGGTTGAAAGGTTGGCGTTCAGCCAAATGAAATATTGGTAAAATAAATGATTTTTGATCAAAAATATGCCTTTTTAATTAAAGATTTATCTATGGATTGCTCTATTTTCAAAACTTTCTCAATTAATTTACATCTCTTGGATATTAATCAAACAAATACTACAGATTTATGAAGATGTGTTTATTTTTATCTTTATTAAATGTAATCTTGAGCTTTCAGGCATCTCTGCTCTTCCTCAGTAGTTTCTAGTAGTTCTCTTGTAGAAGATAAGAAATGCCCGAAAGCTCGAGATCACATTAATAAAGATAAAATAAACTCATATCAATAAACCTGTTTGATTACAATTTTCTGAAATCTGTATATACTAGCCGAATGACCCGGGCAACGCCTGTGTTTTACCCGATTGAATGTTTTGATTCAAATACTATTTGTTACAATTATAAATTGGCGCCTTATATAAATGCATATGTTAGTTAATAACTATAGCCTATGTGCTTTATCTGTCTATGTACTGTTGGCTTCCGTAGGCGTCTCATACTGGGAAAAAGAAAGAGAGGATTCCATTTGGTTATTAACTAATATATGCATTTATTTAAGGAGCGACCCGCTCCAACACAATGGTTACAAAAACGAAAAAGTGAGTGGGGGGGGGGGCATGATGGGGGGGGGGGGGGGGCAAAGGTGGCGTGATCGTAGCCGACCAATAGGAGGGCGCCATTCCAAAAAAAAAAAAAAAGCAAACGGTGACAGAGATGACTGATGAAGAATGACGCTCGTAACTGTATATAGAATATATTTAAAAAAAAAGAAAGCAGAAGAATTGATTTAGTACTTTTGTCTGAAGATGTTAACAACGTTATTACCGAAACGTCACACACTATTTATTTATTTGAATTTGGTCTTATTACCTTGTGTTTATAATCAATAATCCAAATTGTGCCTTATCAGAACAATATCTAGAACTCTTGTCCATTTTTATGGAATAATAAAAAAAAATCAAAGATTAATTGACTGGTTCAAATCACATTAATAGATACCGCTCAGCAAGAGCAACCTAGTTTATGATAATTGAAACAATGAATAATATGTGAAGGTTATTCATATATTAAACAAAATGTTAACACGGGATTCAATCCCGGTTCATGACTGTCGGGAATCGAGGGTGTTACCTACTCGTCCACCGACTTATTTGTTATAGATTTGTTGACATTTATTCTGACAGATGGCGCAAACCATCAGTAACTTTCAGTTGTACTATCAAAGGATGCTTTTTTTTCTTAATTTAGTTAATGTTTATATTTAATCTTATCCTGAAGATAAGACACACAATCTTATTTCCACTAAGTTATTTGATGTTATTTATAATAACATTAATATATCAACATTTTTTTTTGTAAACAGATTTCTTAGGTCTTTAGATCAGCACACGTGTGAAAAAAAAAAGAAAAGGTCAAGTGAAAATATCTATATATATAAAAATGAATGTTTGTATGTTTGTTTGTATGTCCGGTATACAAATTCGCAGTAGTTCACTAATTCAAACAAAAATTTCCATACATAGGTAAAAAAAATACGGGGAAGACGATAGGCTATTTTAAAAAATATATAAATCAATATAATTCCTTCAAGATTATCAATACATAGCCATATTCTGGTGGTAAGACTTGGTTTCTCTCAGTTAAATAACTAGTTGAAGAAGGGCTCTCCCCGAAAGCTTCCTTTAAATAAATAAATTAAAAAAAGTTGCGGCGTTTTATGGTTTTTTGTATTTTGACGAAATCCAAAATCCTGTGATAATAAATATCAGAGCGTTATGATAGATTAAACTGGCGAAACGACTAGAAGGAATCACTACTGATGAGTCAGGATCTTCGACTTTTTATATTATTTCAGTATAAATGACAGTAGAATTCTGTCTTAAATGATGAAAAATGCGTTTAAAAATATTTATATTCATACATAACAGATGGTGTACTCTAATGGCTTATATGCAATTATATATATTTGCACATTTTCCTTTTTTCCATTTCCAATCCCAATTGTACCATTTGCTGTAACACGAATGCTAAAAATAAAAACAAATTAAAAATTGTTTATTTTTGTTGCAACGCAATACACAAATGGTTTTGCCTTTTTTTATATTGCCTTCTCGAGGTCGAATGAAATTTAATGAAACATTTTGTTCTATGAATAAATGATTTTATTGATTGAAATAGAGCTGGTTACGCTGGTGAAAGGATGATCAGACGACTATAATAAATTTTCAGACGATTTTATCCTGCTTGATCAATATTAACATCTATAGGTTTATCAAATACGCTCATGGACAAAACTTAAGGAAGTGGAAAGCCTGTGATATCATCGGTTGTCTGTTTTTTTTTTGTTTTTTTTTAATGAGACAGAGTAAATTTTGTTTACACTAGGTTATATCGTGTGTCTTCAATAAAGGTCACTGTAATTTCTTTCAGAGTTATTGTCTGAATCCAGATATACATGCTGGAAGATACAACTTCCTTAAGTTTTGTCCATGAGTGTATTTATTATAAGTTTACTAGAAGAAAGATCATTTTAACCCACGGCTATAGAACAATTTACAGTACTATTAAAGTTACCTTACTAACAATGTTTATATATGATCGCATATTGGTTAAAATAGAGATGAAGAACAAAAAGATCAGTGGGATATAACGAAAAGAGAACCTCCTGATTGTGCAATTGAATGATGTTGATTGTTCACTGCCATCTATCTATGCATTGTTGGTTTTACTAGGAAGCCACCCCCCACACACACACACAAACATCTTATTCATATTCATACCTGTTAAAGAGGAGAGCTTCTCGAAAGTCCGTTGAATAAAATAGATGGTCGAAAGCCTGTTAAAGAATAGAAGTGTTCGAAAGCTTGTTGAAGAAGAGAAGTGTTCGAAAGCTTGTTGAAGAGGGAAGCTTCTCGAAAGCCTGTTGAAGAAGATAGATGGTCGAAAGCCTGTTGAAGAATATAAATAATCGAAAGCCTGTTAAAGAAAATAGATGCTCGAAAGCCTGTTAAAGAATAGATGTGTTCGAAAGCTTGTTGAAGAAAAGAAGTTCTCGAAAGCTTGTTGAAGAATAGAAGAGTTCGAAAGCTTGTTGAAGAATAGAAGAGTTCGAAAGCTTGTTGAAGAATAGAAGAGTTCGAAAGCTTGTTGAAGAATAGAAGAGTTCGAAAGCTTGTTGAAGAATAGAAGTGTTCGAAAGCTTGTTGAAGAATAGAAGTGTTCGAAAGCTTGTTGAAGAATAGAAGAGTTCGAAAGCTTGTTGAAGAATAGAAGAGTTCGAAAGCTTGTTGAAGAATAGAAGTGTTCGAAAGCTTGTTGAAGAATAGAAGTGTTCGAAAGCTTGTTGAAGAATAGAAGAGTTCTAAAGCTTGTTGAAGAATAGAAGAGTTCGAAAGCTTGTTGAAGAATAGAAGTGTTCGAAAGCTTGTTGAAGAATAGAAGTGTTCGAAAGCTTGTTGAAGAAAAGAAGTTCTCGAAAGCTTGTTGAAGAATAGAAGTGTTCGAAAGCTTGTTGAAGAATAGAAGAGTTCTAAAGCTTGTTGAAGAATAGAAGTGTTCTAAAGCTTGTTGAAGAATAGAAGAGTTCTAAAGCTTGTTGAAGAATAGAAGAGTTCGAAAGCTTGTTGAAGAATAGAAGTGTTCGAAAGCTTGTTGAAGAATAGAAGTGTTCGAAAGCTTGTTGAAGAAAAGAAGTTCTCGAAAGCTTGTTGAAGAATAGAAGTGTTCGAAAGCTTGTTGAAGAATAGAAGTGTTCGAAAGCTTATTGAAGAATAGAAGTGTTCGAAAGCTTGTTGAAGAATAGAAGTGTTCTAAAGCTTGTTGAAGAATAGAAGAGTTTGAAAGCTTGTTGAAGAATAGAAGAGTTCGAAATCTTGTTGAAGAAAAGAAGTTCTCGAAAGCTTGTTAAAGAAGAGAAGTGTTCGAAAGCCTGTTGAAGAGGATAGCAGCTCTAAAGCCTGTTTAGGAAGAGAGATGGTCTAAAGCCTGTTGAAGAGGATAAGAGGTCGAAAGCCTGTTGAAGAGTATAGCAGCCCTAAAGCCTGTTGAAGAAGAGAGATGGTCTAAAGCCTGTTGGAGAGGATAAGATGTCGAAAGCCTGTTGAAGAAGAGGGAAGCTGTCCGAAAAGAATGTTGAAGAAGAGCGGTGCTCGAAAGCCTTTTAAAGTCTCTCAA